TTAGATTTGTCAGATCTGTCAGATTTGTCGATCATCTGCGCCACGTAGGTCCTATCATATTTTATTCGTTCACAGTATCTTTTTTTTTTGAAAAATAATCAAATGTAAAAATGTATCAATATTTTTTTTATATTTTTTTAAACAAAATTAATAATTGTTTAGTTTCCTTTTTTAAACAAATCAGGTTAGGTCAAATGTATATTTAATTCAGGTTAATTTTATGTTTGACCTAATCAGATCTAAACTGTTCAGAGATCTAATTTGTAACATATTATCCATTAAGACTAAATCCTATATCATTTGTTACTTTATTATTAGCACCTTTTTTTTGTAAAGATGACTGAAAATTTTCAGTTATTTCAGTTCTATAAACATCTTCAAATTGCTTATAATATTCTTGGTTGATTATTAAAATAGGATCAGGTAAATTATGTAACTTAAAAAAAGTTTTTAAATCAGATCTAATAGGTTTACATATATTATATATTTCAATACCACACTTTCGAATTTCAAAAGTAATGTCAAGAATAGTAACAGTAATTAAAAAACTCCAATATGATAGTCTAAAATAAAAATTAATATATGTTAACATATACTTTAGTAATAAATTAAATAAAAAATAAAAAATATAACTAACTTTATTTTTTATGTCATTCTTAATTTTATCATTTATACTTAAATTTCATCAACTATTAAATTGAATTCCAAAGTTCTTCTATTTCATTTTTTGAAGCATTGAAAATAGTTCATCTTTTAAATTTAATCTTTCAAAATATTTTCCATTAAATCAATAGTAAGTGCTAATCTATTAATTACTCAATTTAAGTTTTAATTGAGATTTTTCTTCAGCTAATTTTCTAATATCTGCTATTGAGTTATATTTATTTATTATTTCTTCAAATTCTGAAATCGTTTCTTTTTGCATTAATCCAATATATTGCAATCCTAAATTAAGTATTAACATAATTCTTTCTACAGGATTTTTCTACGAATAGCTAGGTGGTGTTTATGCAATAACTAAATAATCTAAATCCATATAAATGAATATTGCTATTAATGAAAGTTATACATGTAAATAAGTAACTTTATAATTAGGTTCACTATCAGTATAAAGAAAAAGAAATGAATTATTTTCATCAGATTTTTGTAATATATGATAAAGTTTTGTCATATGTCAAAATGAATCAGACGATTTAAAAATTGGATCTTTTAAACCAATGCTAACTTACCACTATAAAAACTTTGATCTATATTATTAGGAATATCACATAACATTATTATAGACAGAATAATATCACATTTAGTAAAATCATAATCTGCTACTTAAAAATTTAGTATGTCAAGAAACTAAAACTTGTTTTTCTCTCTCAATTGCAGCTACTAGATAGCTAGATTTACTAATTTTACAATAATGCTTATCATTTATAAATCCTAATCATGAATTATCATAAAAAAGAACAGCCATTTATTTTAAGTATCTAAATATAGCTGATACATAATATGTATCAATATAATTAATTCTTAATTATTAAGCTTATACATACCATAAACTTTGTATTTAACTTTCCAGTATGATGAATACTAGATTTGTAAGTAAGATTTTGTAGATAAAATTATAATCTAATCTATTGAATAGAAGGAATATCAGTTTTATAGACATTTTTTTTTACTTGATCACGAAAATCTCTAGCAGAAATAACATCTGCTAAATGTTGTAATAAATCAATAAATCATGTCTATGATCATCAACTGCTAATATTAAATTTTCTGCAGTCCCTTCCAAATAAGTTTTAGCATAATCCCAAAATATATCAAAATTTTCTGGCTTGCCTTGATTTAAATAGCGTAAATTTGTTATCATTTTTGGATCTCCTAATTTTACTATTAATTTGATTTTATTATCAATATCTTTTTCAGAAAAAGAATCTGATGTAGAACTATTTTGAAGTAAATGTTTAATTAAATGCTTTACACGTGCTTTTTTAATCTTACCAAAATATAATTCAACTAAATCCAAAAATTCTTTTTGCATAGCTCTAGTATGAAATACTTGTAATTGCTTTTTAAATCTTCACAAATACTATAATGCTTATTAATATTTCAGAATCTAAAATATTACTATCAATTTTCCAAATATAAGTGCAATTTTGAATATTTCCATGATGATATATATAAATTCCTAATTTAAATAGAAATGCTTTTTCAAAACCTTCTAAATATTTATTTCTTTGCCTATTATAAATATTTAGTTATTAATTAATTCAATTATAAAATAAATTGGTAAATAATATAAAGAATACTCATATTCTTTCAATGAGACAAAATGGATTTATATTTACTGGTTTCCATAATTTTGCTTTCTCAACTTCTAGTATTAATATAATATAAGTAGTAACTGTTTTTAGTTGTCGCTATGTATTTGGTTGATAAATACTAATAGATTCATTTAATTCTTCATTAACAATGGAAAATGTTGTTTTTGATTTTTTTTTTGATAACACTTGTTGTTAAGGATGCTATCCTAAACTACCAAAAATTAGTTTCGGTTAAACAAAACTAGTTTCGGTAGTTTCGGCTATTAACTAAACTAGTTTTGACACATAACTAAACTAGTTTCGGTAATTCTAAACTACGGAATTTTAGTTTCGGACAGCAACACTACTTGTTGTGTTACTAAATAATTTGCATAATTCGACATATTTTCAACAAGTATGTTTAAATGTTCTTTTAACCAGATTAAATTGGCTTTAGATAATCATTTTAATTCTAAATAATTTGATAAAATAATACTAAATAACTGTAAATCATCTACATTAAAAGACTTCTTGCTTGTTTATACTTTTCAGGATTTGCTCTTTCAAAATAATCATCAAATATAATCAGAATTATATATTTGTCTTTAAAAGTATTTACTAAACATTTATCAATATAACATAATGCAGCCACTTAGTCTTGAATAAACTTTATCCTAATATTATTTGCTGATTCAGTACCTAACCATCCTGCTTTATTCTTTTTCAATAATTTTACTAAATCTATTTCTAATTGCTGTAAAGCATTATTAGCTGGAATTTTAAAAGTAGGATAGTATATTGAACTAGAATTTTTTATCATTTCATCAAATGGATTACTGAATTTATTAACATTTCGTCTGTTAATCTTTCTTCATTTAATTTAAAAATGCAATTAATTTAATAATTTCTAAAGCATTACATTCAAGTGATATCTCATTTTAATTAGAAAAAAGCAAAGATTTTATGTATCCAAAATGTGCAATAACCTCGTAATTTAAATATTTTCGATCTAAAAAAATTGCAAGCAAATTATCAAATAATTGTTAAATATTCATTTTTTTATTAATTGGTATTGCAAGTCAATCGAAAATTTTATTCTTTGAAACTTTACATAAACATTAATAAATGGTATATTTTTAAAAAAATTTTAAAGAGAAATGTTATAATCGATTCAAAAAAGTTAACATTAATGAAGTTATTATATTTATTAAGAATGTCATTAAATCTAACTTTTTTTGAGTAATATTTATTAAAACAAAATGTTGATCATGATCTGATGCTTAAAAATTTATCATATAAAAAAAGCCAGCCTGCTGTATCATTTTAAATTTTTTTTGTTATAAGAATTGGATAATTTTGTTTGTATCACCTTATATGTAAAATTTTATATTAATTAATTTTATAATAAATTATGTAAGATTTTAAAAATTGTTAAAAATTTTGAAGAAAATAAGTATAATTTTAATTATCTATTAGTATGAATTAAATATAAGACCAAAGTTAATTAATATCACAAAATGGTTAAAATCAATATCATCATATTATATAATTATTTCTAAATAAAAAGTATAATCTTAGTCAATACCGTTCTATTTCTCATAAATAAATTATCATTCGAATTCTCAAAACTAGATGAATCTAATAAGCTAATATATATTGAATTATGATTAGTTAATTATAAGATATTCATGATTAAATGTTAAAATTAGGCTCCTTAAATAGTATTTTTTGAATTATAATTTTGGCTGATAATCCAATCATGATTATCTCATAATTAGATAATCCAAAATTGATATTTATTAATTCATTTGATTCGTTTAGTCTCGAGAATTCAAATAGTAATTTTTTATGAAAAAAGAAGCTATTAACAAAGATCATACAGTCAAACCTTGATATAGTGAACCCTTGATATAGCGAATTTTTAAATCAAATATATTAAAATTACCTTACTATAGTAAACTAGCCAATTAAATTCTTTAAAAAATTCGTTATAAGCTTATAATGAAGTTAATATCCGGATCCTAAAATTCATTATATCAAGAGTTCACTGTATTCCTTTTATTTTTAAATATTTTAGATATTATTTGTATAATAAAATTAATATTAATATTGATTTACTGTAATAATATAAAGGAATATAATTTAATATAATTATATATGAAGTGATTTTTTTATATTTATTATAAGATGAGACTAAAAATTAATGTGATTATATTTTTATATATTATTGTGATTATAAAAGAGGTATTTTCTTATTTAAAAAATTGAGATTGAACTATAATGTGACTAAAGAAGTGGTGTGATTATAGGAGGTGACTATAAAAGAGGTCAACTGTAATCTAATTTTATAAGAAATAAGAATATGAACAAAGATTATAAAAAATTAAATATATTATTTAATTTAGGGTAAATAAATAAAATAGTGAATTTCTCATAAGAATAAATAATGAAATTTGACCCAGCTGGTCAGAAACAAAAATTTATTTTTAAAAAAAATTATCGATTATCTAAAAGATGATTGGCTGTTTGTCAAATAAATTTTTTTACCTATCTGGCAATCTGGGGAAAAATTTATTAAAAAAATATAAATTTTTATCCCACCCAAAGACCTAGAGAAAAAATTTATAAATTTTTATCCCACCCGAAGACCTAGAGAAAAAATTTATAAATTTTTTTCCCACCTGGCAATCCAGAGAAACTCCTTAATTATGATTGGATAAGATAAATGATACAAGTTATCTAAATTTTTTTTTAACAATTTTTACGATTTTTAGTAAAAATTGCTAATAATAATAGTTTAGTCTTTTCTTTTTTTATATTAAATAAATGCTTCTATAAGCATAAAAGTTATATTAAGTGATAGAAAAGAAATACTTAAATGGCAAATGCATCCTATTATTAAAAATCTTTCAGTGTATGATTTTTTTATTTACTGGTTACTGGACAGCCCTCACCAAAAGTTTTATTAATAAAGATTATCGTGATTTTTTACTAAAAGCAAGAATAGGAAATTCAATAAAAGGAGAATTTGTTAATGTCAATATTCAATGTAAATTTAATAAGATTTTACAGACTTTTGGAAATTTTGTTTTATTTGAATTACAAATTTTGGAAGACAATCAACCATCTTTACAAAGAAATAACAATGCATTTAAAGTACTCGTCTCTAATTCTATTCAACTAGCTTGACTTTTTTTCAAATTACCAAAAAAGCTAAATAAGAAGGATTTATTACACCAAAATTTAATAACATGGATTAAAAATAATGGTGAAGGTTGGAAAGGAAAACTTGCTGCAGATTCAATAGGAAAATCTTTTATAAATGATTTACTAAATTCTATATGATATGTAGATACATGTGATGTTGAAAAATGAAAGAAAGGGCAATACATCCTCCTAAAGAGCTTGAAAATTTTTTTAATAGATCAGATCCATTGAGCTATAAGAGTTCTAGGCCAAATTTTGATTATGATTGTTTAAATCGACATGCAAATTTACTTTTTAGACATTTAAATGCGTCGTGAATAGACTATCAAACAATTGTATTTTTTGCATCAACCTTTTGTGAAGTAGGAAAACCTGGTTTTGAGATTCATCGTGAGGAATAGAAAATAATTTCAAACTTTACTAATTTTCATTTTCATTTCGATGACAGATAACATCCCGATAACCTATTTCCTGATATTCACTTTACCTGACAATAATTGTCCAAAAAGTCATAATCCCGAATAAACCTTTTACTGATAAGACAATATCTTGACAACATACAGTGAACTCTTGATATAACGAATTCTAGGATCTGGATATCAACTTCATTATAAGCTTATAACGAATTTTTTAAAGAATTTAATTGGCTAGTTCACTATAGTAAAGGTAATTTTAATATATTTGATTTAAAAATTCGTTATATCAAGGGTTCGCTATATCAAAGTTTGACTGTATATCCTGACAGAACATTATCCTGAAAACTGATTTACCAAAAATGTAACAAGGTATCAATAATAAAAAAAATTTTATTATTATTTAAATTAAAAACTATATTGTGAAATATCATATGATTATCTATTAAATGTACCTGATAAGAATGTGTTAAATAATTTTTTTAGTAATCATTATAATTTTTTTAATTAAAAAAAATAAATTGAGACCTTATCAATTTTAAAACATTAAATCTTTGTATTACATGATATAATTACAGCATACATGGTATATCAGATATTATTTAAGCATAAAAAATTTATTGTGATAGCAATTTAATTAGCCTGATTTTTTTTTAAAAAAGCACTAATTTAAAACAAATATAAAGTTATTTTTTTAGCTGTAATTTCCGCAAATAATTAATTTGAAATCTGTTTATATAAGTGTCATTAAGGGCGTTCTCAAGCATTTCATTCAATACGATTGGATAGTAAAGGCAATTTGCTCAAATATCACAATAAATGATGAAATTATAAGCTATTTTGATTTTGTTTATTAAGATAACTATTTTTTATAATTTTTGCCATTAAAAAGTAAAATAAATTAAAATGATGCTTGAATGCTTTCTACTAACTGAAGATCATTGAAGCAAAAGGTTCGCTATTATCATAATATGAAATTTTTTGATACTTTTTTGGCCAATCAGATCATTTATCAGTCTATCAATTGAAATGCTGAGAAAGCTCTAAATTAGGAAAGTAATACTTTATTAGTATATTGTATTAAAACTATCTGTGTGATAATTTTTTTCAACTATCTCATCTTTTTTGATTTTGCAGAGTTTTTTTTGATTTAAAAAATCAAAATAAACTGTGTTGCATGCAACTTAGTTAATTCTACACAAAGTAATCTGAAGATTATTGTGAATGGATACTTATTAGTAAAAGATAAAAATCGTAATGAGAAATATTACTGGTGTTGTGAGTACAGAAAAAACTTAAATTGTAAGGAAAGAGCAGTAACAATTTTAGAGAATGAAGAACATGTATTGGTAAAATTCAGTGAACATAATCATGCGTCAGAAGCAAGTAGCATAGGTGTGATCATAACACTTAATATGATGAAGAAAGCAACAGCATCTTAATTCCAAACTAAGCAACCTTAAATAATTTAAAATTATGTAATTAATATGTCTCAAGCTTCATATTCTTATTTGCCAAACAAGAAAGCATTATGCAGACAAATTTCACATATTAGAAGTGAATATATGCCTTCACAACTACAATCATTGTAAGATATTAATGTTCCTACTAATTTACGTATAACTATCAGCGGGAAACCATTTTTAGCAAAGGATATAACATTAGGTGAAGAAAAGATTATGATTTTTTGTATAATATCAAATCTTCAGTATTTTCAAAATGCTGATTTTTGGATAATTGATGGAACGTTCAAAATAGTACCTACATTATTTCATCCAATGTATACTATCACTGGTCGAAATGGATACAAATCGGCTAAAAATCAGATGAACGATTGATGGATGATTGATGGCTGATTTAGGGCTGATTTACATTAATTCCGATTGACACAATATGAATCAATCAGAAATATCAATCGGTCATCAATCGCCATCAATCATCCATCCAAAATCTGCCTAAAACAAGCCATCAATCGGCTATGAATCATCCATCAATCGTCTGTCCGATTTTTAGCCGAAAATTTATTACATTTATTTCATTTTACAGTTTCGGAAAATAATTTTTTTTATTAATTTTATTAATTTTATTCATTATGTGACAAGCAAATAGAAAATAATACTAAAAATAAGCAAATTACTAAAAAAAGAAAAGAAGAAATTGTCATCGTAATCGATAAATTGTCGTTGTCATCGTCGTTATT